AACTATTAACAAAAATGTATCTTATTTGTGTATCACTCGGCTGAAGATCCTCAAATCATCTCTGAATTGGTGCTGACACTGTCCTTCCTTCTGGAGGGGGGCTACTTGTGTTCCCCATGGTCCCTGTGTGTGTTGTAAAGTAGTCACCGCTCCAAGCTCACTCCCATCATGGACTACAATCTCAAGTTTAGTTTACTAATTTGTAGTGAGAGTGTAGTCCATCACAGGAGCAAGCTCGGAGTGGTGACTACTTTACAACACACACAGGGACTATGGGGAACAAAAGTAGCCCCCCTCCAGAAGGAAGGACAGTGTCAGCACCAATTCAGAGATGATTTGAGGATCTACAGCCGAGTGATACACAAATAAGATACATTTTTGTTAATAGCTAAGGTACTTGATGCATTTTTAGAATTTAACTTCTGAGTTGCACTTGAAATACAGGGCAATGCACATTAGGAAAATAGTAGTTTGATTCCTGCTGTGTAACAAAAAAATGTAATGCAATGAGTGAAAAACTCACAAAAATTCACGTCTACACAAGTTGGAGGCTAATAACATTAGCCGAGTTTGTGGGAGGAGTTGGAGCCGTTCAGGGCTCTTAAACTCGGAGGGGGAAGGAGGACGTATCCGCAGCTGACTTCCGGCATACCCTCCCATCCTTCCCCCTTATTATTATTATTTTCAAAGCTTACTTGAGTACGCCCCCTTATTTGGCATACTGACCTTTAAAAATCATGGCACACCTCAGGTTACGTGGGGTGGGAGGTCAACATGGCCTAGGTTTGTATCATGTACAAGGGGACACTATGCGGGGCCCGCGAGATTCCGAAACACAAGTGTGTTTAACACGCATCAATGTGCATTAAATGCAGCGCACATGGGGTGGTTCCAGCCGGTACTGTATGCAAGTGACCTGTTTTGCAGCCTTCTAACAACTTCTGATACAGCTGTCTGTTTATAACACATTATTTTTTCTTTTACTCTTTAAGATGACGACTACTCGGATTCAGTTCCTGACATGGAAAGCTTCGAGTCCTGGGCGGACCGTATCTACACAGAGTACCATGCCAGAAATTGCCGGTCCAACAACATGAGTTTGAAGACTAAGGTTGTGACTTCACAGGACACTTCCAGGCTTGTGGAAGAGCGGAGATACCTGGATAGAAAAGATCAAATGGAGGGAGAACTGCGCCAGGCGCAGAGTGAGCGGTATCACAAGAGATGCCAGGAGGTGTTTGGGGGAGCGGGTGCGAGCAGCGAGGATGGCTCAAAGCATAGCAGTAGCAAAGCCACGCTAAGTCATGACACGACTGACAATGACAATGCTAATAACACCAACACAAGGATGGGTACGAGTATGTTGAGCTACAAAGACATACCGTGGCCGCTCCCTGGTGGCACTGCAGAGCAGATGGCACGGTTCATAGCAGCAGGTGCAGACTCTTCTGACGTCACAACATATAAGCGCTACCTGCGGGCACAGAGAGTGACGTGGCATCCAGATCGCTTTATGCAGAGATGTGGCGCTCGTCTTCTTGCCAAGGACCGGGTGCGGGTGTTGGAGACTGTTACGGCTCTGTCACAGGAGTTAAACAGACTGGCAGAGCTGGCAAAGTGATAGATGTGGTACCACTAATACCCACAGCTCTACTGACCACCATTGTGTTACTTTTTGTATTTACCACCTCCATTTTTTGTACTTGCAATCCTGTGAGCTTATTAAATAAGACAGAAGGCAATATTTAATTGTGACCAATCATGTTCCATCTGGCAGTGATTTGACTCCAGCGATGTGTGTGTTTGTGTTTTTTTTTTCTCATAAAAAAACATGGAGGTTGTTACTGCTGAATTTGTCTGAAAATGCAGATTGTCTGGCTGGCTACCCAACATATGACAGGTGTCACTGAAACAGGAATAGAGCGAGAAATCCTCCAATAGGGACACGTGTTCCAGTAACACCATCATTTCTCTTTAGATTTTCTTCTTATTTCCTGATGTGTGTCATAGATAGGAAGTGAAGGTTAAAGTGACACTAAACTCAGCAGTTAAACCTTAAAAATACATTCAAGTACCTTAACTATTAACAACAATGTAACTTATTTGTGTATCACTCGGCTGTAGATCCTCAAATCATCTCTGAATTGGTGCTGACACTGTCCTTCCTTCTGGAGGGTGGGTACTTTTGTTCTCCATGGTCCCTGTGTGTGTTGTAAAGTAGTCACCGCTCCAAGCTCACACCTGTGATGGACTACAATCTCATGTTTGGTTTACTAATTTGTATTGAGATTATAGTCCATCCCGGGAGCGATCTTGGAGCGGTGACTACTTTACAATACACACAGGGACCATGGGGAACAAAAGTAGCCACCCTCCAGAAGGAAGGACAGTGTCAGCACCAATTCGGAGATGATTTGAGGATCTACAGCCGAGTAATACACAAATAAGATACATTATTGTTAATAGTTCAGGTACTTTAATGTATTTTTAAGATTGAATTTAAAAGGAAAAAAAACACCTTACTAACCTAATAATAACCTATGCTGATATCTGAATAAATGTATTACTTAATAAAGGTTGCTATTTCTTTGAGTTCTGCCTTAACATGTTAAAGCAAATATACAGTAGTTGTCTGTGTGTTTCTTTATTATGGTCAGGATTAAAAAGTAAACATTCAAAAATATATTTTGTTTTGGGTAGATAAATGAAAAATAATAAATATTGCAAATATTGATTGTTTTTATATTCAGCTAGTAGGCAGTTATTTTCTCTTCATATATTGTCAAGGCTCAAACACACACACATGAATAACTCAGAGCTGTGGCTAATTTTCCTGCTTGGTGTGTTCCGATGGATCTGTACGGAGTTTCAATCAGATAGAGAGAGTCTGAAGGTAAACAGCTTCTGCTGTGCTCCATCTTTGAAAACCTCTAGTACTCTGTGAAACCAGTATCTGTATTAAATGTCTATTTGTAAAACAAGGATTTAATGTAAACTATAAAACAGTTTAAAAAACAAGCACATTTTAAAACCCTAACAATGAACGTCTCTGTTAATTCCGGTCTGCAGTGGTCAAGACCGACCAAAAGTGGTCCAAGGAAGGAAAAATCGGTAAACTGGCAACAGGGTCATGGGGGAGCTAAGACCCATTGATGGACGTGGGGAGCGAAGGCTGACCTGTGTAGTCTGATTCGATAGAAAAGATACTGTAGCTCAAATTGCTAAAAAAAAAGTTAATGCTGGTTCTGATAGAAAGGTGTATGGAGCGACGTATCTGCAGACCAGTCAGTACCTATGCTGATCCCTATCCACCTACAAAAGAACCTACAATGGGCAGGTGAACATCAGAACTGGACCAGGGAGCAATGAAAGAAGGTGGCCTGGTCTGATGAATCACATTTTCTTTTACATCGTGTGGACGGTCGGGTGCGTGTGTGTCCCTTACATGGAGAAGAGTTGGCACCAGGATGCACTATGGGAAGAAGGCAAGCTGGCGGAGGCAGTGTGATGCTTTGAGCAATGTTCTGCTGGGAAACCTTGTGTCCTGCCATTCATTTGGATGTTACTTTGGTACGTACAACCTACCTAAGCATTGTTGCTGACCAAGTACAACCCTTCATGAAAAAAATATTCCCTGATGGCAGTGGCCTCTTTAAGCAGCATAATGCACCCTGCCACACTGCAAAAAATGTTTAAGAATGGTTTGAGGAACACAGGTTCTGAACACAAATCAGTCTCCTTGGCCCAGATCGCCTCGGTATACCGCATGGCAATCCAGGCTGAAAAGACTGCCGACAGCTGCAGCCCGGTCCTTAACAGGCCACTGACCAGTACCAGTCTGCGACCCGCTGGTTGGGGACCCCTGCTATAGAGTATCACATGAGTGACAGCTCTGAGTCTGCTGACATCACATCCAAGATGGCAGCACCTAGCAGCTGTCGCAGAGCCTTTGGATGTCTACACAAGGGAGGCTTTGGCATGCTTGAAATACATTAAATGCACACTTTATTTTACCTATAATTTCTTACAAGTGAAGAAAACCACTAAAGTAAAATGTCCGGGAGATATACATGAAACATGAATTTATAGGCATTCTTTTATTAATATATAGGCATATAACACTACCACCTTCTGTGGAGTTGTGCAAAGTATCAGATATAACAAGGGAGGGTAGTACAGGTAATACAAAGGAGTCTATTTATAAACAATCCACATAGCCATTCACCCTGTGAATCTCTGTGAACATGTAAAAACAAACGTACATTCGAATGTAACAATGTAATTCCACATTATGGCCACTAGACTGAGCTGAGAATCATAGGAAATAAGTATTTTCTTTGCTCCTCTGCTCCATCTAGTGGCCATAAAGCAGTACTACATTATTACATTTGAAACAACATATATGATGAAGGTAGGTTTTTGCATCTATTCACACAAAACAAACTTTCACAGATATTCACAGGATGTTCTAAACGCTAGTACATAGGTGAGCAATAACGAGTCAATGGGAGAGAGGGTCCTACACATTTGAGCTTACAATCTACAGGTTCTAAAAGTGGACATTTCAGTAACTTTACAAGTCTGTACCAAGGCAAAGATTATTTCATCGGTCTGCTGTAGGCAGGAGGAAGCATTTCCTCAGTCTCCCTCCCGCAGTGATAACACTGTAACTTTGTAGCAAGTAACAAGGGGTGAGGTGGCACGAAGGGACTATTTTGTGTCAGAGATTTGTGATCACAGCCAAGAACTGCACAGGCTCCGGATTTACATTATTGTGTCCTCTCTGAGCTGGCACCCAGTCCAGGAAGAAGATGGTGACTGCAGATGATGCCCGAACAAAGATAGCTCTATACTTATGGAGAGAAGATGAGATGAAGGCATTGTCAAGGGCATTACTATAATAAGGAAGTAAACATCCTCAGCTCAGGGTGAAGGTTTTGTAGAGAAGAGTTACAGAGTAAAAGAGAAGATTAGAAAGTCGAGAAACTAACATTAATAGAGATCCTTTAGACATGGCAGGTGTACCAAGAATCAAATCTGGAGGCTTTTACGCCCCGATCGTGGGCAGTTGCCATGAAGGACGCTCTCAAACATAAATATTTTACATATTAAATGATAAGCAGCACATCAATAATTACAAGAGACAATAATTTCTGCTACCTAGGAACTCCTTACCAGCTTGTCTGACCTTCAGACTCCCAAATTCCTCATTGTAGAACACGGAGACTTCCTGTGAACCCACTAAAATTCTAACTGTGGGGGACCCTACTGACACCACTTGGCTCAAAAAACTCGATTGAAGAATCCAAAGAGCTGGGAGGACAATTGTCAGCCTGAACAATTACTTTAGCCAGTCAGCTGTCGTTACTATTGAGGTATTCTGAAAGCTGTGGGCACCAGTACAGAATACAATAGTCAGCACCGGAGATTCCACGCTGTTTAGCATGAATGGGGGAATGAAGGGATTTGGTTTGGTTGTGAGCGTGTATGGCCAGCTTAACTGTCTCCATGTTGCTCCAGACATCCCAAGAATGCTTAAAACAATCATCTGTTCTAACAACAACTTTCTGCAAAGCTTTTTTAGAAAGTTAGCCCCTTATTATATAAAGATCCTAACATTAGCATATAAGCACTTAGTAATATCATTTAATCATTCGTAAAATACATGAAACTTATATTTTGATTTCAGCTTTGATCTCTGTGAGGTAAGAAATACCTGGAAGTGTTACACTCACAGAGTTAGCAAGTCTTAACATGAAAAAATAAATCTAATTCTAGTTTCACTTTAACAAGCTTTCTTCAATACGATGCCCAGCAGGACACTGAGGATGATCAGACAGGAGATACGGAGGGATTGCATCACAACACATAGATATTGACAGCTTTGATCTGTGGATGAGAGAAAGTTAGAGGTGAAATACTAGTGAACATATTGATGAAATTAAGTTTTATACAAATCATAGAAGAATGAAAAAGGATGAAATGAACCAATCCAGGGTTCCCCAAGCTATGGTCATCTCTTATGTCACATTGTCATAGACTGCTGTGTCCACCAATCATAAACTCAAACTTCTTAATATCTTCCCTATTGTCTACACACGTACAGGGTACACACTTTACACACCATCCACACACACAGGGTACACGCTATACACACCATCCACAACCAGGTTACACATTATACACACTGTGCATGCTATACACAACGTCCACACACAGGGTACACACTATACACACTGTCCACACACAGGGTACATGCTATACACACCATTCACACACAGGGTACATGCTATACACGCCGTCCACACACCAGTTACACGCTATACACACCATCCACACACACGGTACACGCTGTACACACCATACACACCATCCACACACAGCCCACACCATACACAGCGTCCACACAGTCCATGCCATACACACCGTCCACATACAACCCACACCATACAAACCGTTGACTCCACATACAACGCACACCATACACACTGCTCACACCATACACACTGTCAGTACACAGTGTACACACCATCCATGTAATGTCCACACATTGCATATCACCTTACACAGACTGCAAACTCTGTCCAATCACTATACACTGATCACATACTGCACACCACACACACAGTGCAATCTGCTCCCAAGTAAA